ACCTCTCTCCTTCCGTTCCTTCCCATCACCCTATCTCTTTCCTACCACTGGTTTCCACACTTTGCGAACTGCTGTCTACACTTGCCGTCCCTGCTGCCATGACCCAAGGCAGTCGGGCGTCTGTCCCCAGCACTCCTCCGCCCCTGCTAGCCAAGGTCACTGGTGACTTCCCTGTCGTTCAGATCCAAGGACTTGTTTCAGATCTTATCTTGACCTTGAAGGCACGTGACAGGGCTCACCACCCCGCCTTCCTTAAAACTTCCCTGTTGGCTTCTAGGGCACCTGAGTCTTCTGGCTTTCCTCCCCTCCTCCTCTGGCTCCTTCTAGATTTTCTTGAAAGGGCCACATTCTCCTCTTCCTAGAGTGATCCTCAGGCTTCTCAGGTAAGGCTGGGCACCGAGAATGGAGGCTCCCCGTCCCCACGCATTGCTTGCAGGAACACCTGTGAATTTGCTTTCTCATCCAAGAGCAGCACTGTTGTGTTTTGAACTATTTGTGCCGAGGATCCTGCTGCTGGAGCCCGACATGCCTTTTCGGGTGTGTATTTATAACCCCCACTTTGAGAAGCTCTCACAACACTTGGACATCTGTTTTTTTCATTTGTCCCCTCAGAGGGCAATATGCTTTAGGGAGGGACACTGACAAATGAAAGGGCATCGGGAGCGGCTGCCGAGAGGCCAGAAAACTGCCCTGTGAGAAGTCATGGAAAGAACTGGAAACATTTTTGCCTAACGGATAAAACTGAAGGATGGTAGAGGGCTGACTGCAAAACTTGGAAGAGGCAGATCCTTGGGCTGGGCTGCCGTGTGGAATTGCATGGACTGTATTAGTGGCAGGGAGGTGGGTTTTGAATGGAGGTAGACACGTTCTACTGTGTTCCAGAATGTTCTGGACATCCAGGACATCTTGGGGTCGTGAGTTCGAGCCCCACGTTGGGTGTAGCGATTACTTAATAAAAAAATAAAAAAAATAAAAATCTCTGCGGACAGAAACAACACAGCAGGAGGAAGGCTTGGAGTGCGCTCTGCAAGCCAGCCCAGTAGATACCTCCAAAACAGACCCAACTTGGGTGGGCAATGAGCTGGGCACCCTGATTTGCTTCTTTCAGACCTGTCCTGGCCAGACTGGCTTTCCCTGACTTGCGTTTCGGTGTGATGCCACCAGCTTCTATTGCGGGCCGTCACACAGAAACTGTCCCATGGAGCTTGCTGCTGTCACCACCATGGGGATGTTCTTGAGGTTGTGTGCTCAGTACCACCTACTGTGTTTCTTTATGTCCTCCCCAGGCCCCCCCCCCCCCCCCCAGGGAGAAATTCCTGTCTGATCTTAGCCCCAAGAATAGTTGTAATTCTCTTGAGTAATAGGTCTGTCTGTTTTTATCTCATGGACACCGGGAATCGTGTAACTGCCCAGTTTCCTTTTCATTTGGGCTGCAGGAAAGCGCAGGGACAAATTTGTGGCCCACCCACAGGAGGTGAATAGAGCATTCCAGGGAGCATTTTTGCTTTATACCCATTCCCCCCCCTCCTGGTTTTTCTTTCTTCTCTTCACTCTCCTTCTTATTCTACCACACAAAATTGACAACGCCCAAGCAAAAAGCAATAAAAATCACCTGTAATCTCACTATCCAGAGATGACCACGGTGAACCAAGTTGTCTTTTTTGCATCCTTAAAAAAATAAAAATGAGCTTATATTGTGCATAGTGTTCTTTTGGGGGGGGACATCATGTTTTGTAATTTGCTTTCCCCCCTTTTGTAGTATGTCATGAATATCTTTGCATGTAATTAAATGCTCTTCTTTAAATTATTTTATTTTTTTAATTACAAAAATATTTATCTATTTGAGAGAGAGTGAGAGAGAGAGAGCACAGAGGGAGAGTGAGAGGGAGAAGCAGACTACCTGCTGAGCAGAGAGCTGGATGGACGGGTGGGGGGGGGGGGGGAGGGGGAATCGATCCCAGGACCCTGAGATCATGACCTGAGCCGAAAGTAGATGCTTAACCAAGTGAGCCACCCAGGCACCCCCTAAATTATTTTAAATATCTATAAAGACCTAGCAACTTAGTAGTCACAATGAACATTGCTACATCCCTTTGCTATGTGCCTGGCTTTATGCATATTTACATATACACTTTATTTGTGTAGATTATGTAAGTGCATTATGGGTGTGTCCACATATTATAAGCTGCAGTCTTCATATGAGCTAACTCATTTGATGCTCATAACCCTATGAGATGGATATTATTGTCCCCTTTTTTACAAACCAGGAAAGCAAAGCACAGAGAGATGGAAAACCCGCCAAGGCCACACACTCTGGCTTCAAAGCATTACTCCTCACTGCTATGCTTCCGACATGGCCCTCGGATCTCCCAGCCCACAAGAGTTAAACTTTCCCTCTGTCTCCTCTCACCTCACTAATTTATGTTATTTTGCCATGTTCTAAGTAGCCTCATAAGTCACCGAGAATCCTCTCTGCCACAAGGCAGAAATAAACAGTGTAGGGAGTGGTAAATGGCACAGGGAAGGCAAAGCTAAAGCGTTCCCCTAGGGCAGAGGATGAATCCGGGCTGTCTGTCGTGCAAGGGAATGCATTTATTTCCTTGGGCTGTGGTGAGCTCCCATCCCTAAAAGAGCTGGCTTGGGTGGCCCTCTCTCAGGGAGGCTGGGGAAGGCGGTTTTCCAAGGAGAGTGAGCTGGGCCAAACGAGCCCTGAGGCCCCTTCTTAGATTCTCAGTTTATGAGAATGCCAATAAGACAAAAGGAGACACTTGTTGGAGATAATGCAGCAAGCCGGCTTTTGGGCCAGAACCAGAACCCTGGGCTTTCAGTCCAGATTTATGACTAGATCACTCATCTAAAAGTAACAAACCAACAGGGATTGAGTTTCAGACTCTCAGCCCAGGGTATTCTTCCCCCAAAGCGCTTTGGCTGCGCAGCAGGATAGTCAAAGGATGCTGTCACTGTCCTCGGTCCTTCTGTTAAGGTGGCAGAGAATGAGGCAAGAAAGAGAAGCTGGGTGGCCCCAAGGATGCCTTCTGAGACTATAATTGGGTGGGATTATTATCCACTTGACTAGGAAGAGAGGAAGGAGCCCCGGTTTCTATTCCCGGATTTGATCCATGTTGACATCTCCATGGGAGATGTTGGGCAAGCTTCTTGACCTCAGTTTCTTCATCTGCGAAATGGAGTTAAGACCTACTTTGAAAAGCTGTCGTGAGGCTCGTGTGAGCTAGTGCGGGGCAGAGCACCCTTGAAAATACAAGCCTGCCTCAGGGGACCTGGGGCGGGGGGCTGGGCTGCCCCCAGCCCGAGGCCCGCAGACCCGTCTGGAAGGGGCATGGGCCCGGGCCCTGGTGCTGTCCGGCTGCTTTCTCATCTTCAGCCTCCAGCCCACCACAGGATCCCCGAGACGCAAGGAGCCAGCCGCCTTCCCGGCACACAGGGCCACCGCAGGGTGACAACCGTGGGGGTACAGGGTAGCGGCCCCTTCTCGCCCGCCCCGGTGGGCTTCAGGAAGAAGGAGTGAGCTGGCAGACAGAGGTTACCTCCCCCCCCTTCCTCCGGATTCCCGGCTGTCTGCCCACGGGGGCACGGCCCTGTGCGCAGTGCCACCGGGGCCATCAGGCCGGGTTGGAGGAAGGCCCGACCTCGGCGCAGCAAAGAAAACAAACACAGATGTGTTTGGCCGGGACCAGGAGGGAGCACGTCGTCCCCTCCCCCCCCCCGCCCGCGCGCTCCCCCGGGGCGTGGGGCCGGCGGAAACCTGCGGGGCTCCCCGGGCGGCGCGGGGGGCCCGGGCGAGGCTGACAGTCCCGGGCCGGCCCCTCCTCCCTCCGTGGGGTGCTCGCCGGGCCCAGCCCCCTCTCCGGGGTTTCCCCGGGCGCTCTCCTAGCTTTCTCTTTGTCTCTGCCGCCCTTCCTCGGGCTCCCCGGTTCCCACCGGCTCGCGGTCCCGCTCGCTCCGCTTCCCGGGCCGCTTCTCTTTAACTTTCTTCTTTCCCGGGGTTAAAACTTTGCTCGCGAGCGGGCGGCTGCTCGCCGACGTTATTGGCCGGCGCCCCGCCCGGCGGCCCCGCCCCCCGCCCCCGCGCTCCCCTCCGCCCCCCACTCCCGGCGCGAGCGGCGGCGGCGGCGGCGGCGGCGACGGCGGCGGAGCCTTCGGGGGCGTGCGTGCGTGTGTGTGAGTGCGCGCCAGCGAGCGTGAGTGTGTGTGCGCCCCGGGCGCGGGCTGGGCAGCACTCCGACCGCGGCGGGAGCGGCGGGAGCCGGGCGGCAGCGTCGTCACTCGGGCGAGCGAGGCGGCGGCGGCCGGGGCCGGGGCCGGGGGCCCGGGGGGCCGGGGGCCGGGGCTGGGGCAGCGGCGGCCGCGCCGGGCATGGAGCTGGCAAGCCCGCGCTGAGGCAGGACGCGCCTGCTGGCCGCGAGCGAGAGGCTCTCCGCGGTCCGGCGCGCGGGCTCCCGGCCGGGGCCGGGCAAACTTTTCTTTCTCTTTTGCCCTCGCCAGAGGTAAAGTCCCGAGCGCGGACTCTGCGGCGGGGACGCGATCTGGGCCAGCGCGGGGGGACCCCCGGGGCTGCGGGAGGAAGGGGCGCGGGGCCGTGCGGGCTGGCGGGCCCCCGCGCTGTGCCGCGCCGAGGCTTGGGGCGCTAGGCGGGCTGGCTGCGGACCGGCAGGCGGGCGCGGGCATGCCCCCCTCGGGCGGCGTGGAGGCGGCGGTGGCCGGGGAAGCCGAGCGTTTGCCCGCGGCCCCGGCTCGCCGCCCGGCCGGGAAGAACGCGCGCGGGAGGTGCGGGCTTGGGGGGGAGGGGCGGGGGCCCGGGATTCGCCTGCCCGCGTCTCCCCCCGGGACTGTGGGGAGCGAGGCGGGCGGGCGGCCGCGGGGTTGGTGCCGCGGAAGCCGGGCGTTCGCCCCGCGCCCCGGCTCGCCGCCCGCCCCGGGGAGGGGGGGGGAGTGGAGGGCGCGGGGCGGGCTGGCTGAGCGCAGCTCCCCTCTCTCCGCAGGCGCCTTCTGCGGCGGGCGGACCGACTCCTCGGCGCGGCGGGGCCGGGGCAAGCTGGACGCAGCATGATGCGCGCAGTGTGGGAGGCGCTGGCGGCGCTGGCGGCAGTGGCGTGCCTGGTGGGCGCGGTGCGCGGCGGGCCCGGGCTCAGCATGTTCTCGGGCCAGGCGGCGCAGCCCGACCCCTGCTCGGACGAGAACGGCCACCCGCGCCGCTGCATCCCGGACTTTGTCAACGCGGCCTTCGGCAAGGACGTGCGCGTGTCCAGCACCTGCGGCCGGCCCCCGGCGCGCTACTGCGTGGTGAGCGAGCGCGGCGAGGAGCGGCTGCGCTCCTGCCACCTTTGCAACGCGTCGGACCCCAGGAAGGCGCACCCGCCCGCCTTCCTCACCGATCTCAACAACCCGCACAACCTGACGTGCTGGCAGTCCGAGAACTACCTGCAGTTCCCGCACAACGTGACGCTCACGCTGTCGCTCGGCAAGAAGTTCGAGGTGACCTACGTGAGCCTGCAGTTCTGCTCGCCGCGGCCTGAGTCCATGGCCATCTACAAGTCCATGGACTACGGGCGCACGTGGGTGCCCTTCCAGTTCTACTCCACGCAGTGCCGCAAGATGTACAACCGGCCGCACCGCGCGCCCATCACCAAGCAGAACGAGCAGGAGGCCGTGTGCACCGACTCGCACACCGACATGCGCCCGCTCTCGGGCGGCCTCATCGCCTTCAGCACGCTGGACGGGCGGCCCTCGGCACACGACTTCGACAACTCGCCCGTGCTGCAGGACTGGGTCACGGCCACTGACATCCGCGTGGCCTTCAGCCGCCTGCACACGTTCGGTGACGAGAACGAGGACGACTCGGAGCTGGCGCGCGACTCGTACTTCTACGCCGTGTCCGACCTGCAGGTGGGCGGCCGCTGCAAGTGCAACGGCCACGCCGCCCGCTGCGTGCGCGACCGCGACGACAGCCTGGTGTGCGACTGCAGGCACAACACGGCCGGCCCGGAGTGCGACCGCTGCAAGCCTTTCCACTACGACCGGCCCTGGCAGCGCGCCACGGCCCGCGAGGCCAACGAGTGCGTGGGTGAGTGGGGGGCGCCGCGGGGACGCGGGCGGCGGGCTGGGGGTGGGGGCCTGGCGGCCGCACCGGACCACTGCCGGCCGCATGGATGCGGCGCGGACCGTGGGAGGCGCGTCCCGGGACGTCCCGGGACCGGGGAGGGATGAGAGCCGGTTCACGGGCTCGCGTGGCGCTGGCCCTGGACGCTCGGATTTGCGCCCAGGGCGCTCTGTGAAGCCGGGAAGCATGAGAAATGCTTCGGGGCAGAGGGTTTTGCAGAAAACTTGCTGACTGGTCCCCCTGACTCCGGACTCGAATGCAAACATGCGTTGCCTTACCCTCAGTTTGGCGGGACTCTGGGATCCACCTAGACCTTACCCTCCCCGCCACCCCCCACCCTTTCCCAGGGCTGCAGCTGGGCGCGCAGTTGGGAACCCCGGCCCGCTTCCCGGGAAGTTCCAGCTCCCCAACCACAAATCCTTTGGGAGATGGCAGAGGGATTTGCAGTTTGGGGCCAGTTCGGCACCGGACGAATATATCACTCCTGCACCCTCTATTTGTCTTTTATGGTTTGGAAAAAAAAAAAAAAAATCCCTCCCCCATTTTAAACAGGGTATTTGTGTTAGCAGAAGAATGATGTGATTTAAATTAATTACTATCTACGGATTACAAAGGAGAGTTCAGCGATTATTTTAAAATAATTCAATCCTGGTCCCAAAAAGTATATCAACATTTGTGTGTGTGTGTGTGTGTGTGTGTATATGTGTGTGTGTGTTGTTAGCGTCAAGGTTAGGTGAATTGGAAGAGCTTTGGATTAACCAAGGGTCCAGCTTCTCGCTTTTTAATGGGGTTTCAAGTCCTGAAAGAAATCTGACAAAACCAGGACTGGTGAATACTGTTGGGTCAGAAATGAGGCTTAAAAAAAGGGTGGGGTGGGGGGAGAGAGAGAGGGATCCGTTCTGTTTCTGATTTGTACAACTTTGCTGCTGTAGAAACTCAGGCATCAGTTTCTCCCCAGGAAAACAAAACAAAACAAAACAAAAAACAAAATGGGGGGGGGAGGAGGAATGCCAGAGAATTCCAGTATGAGATGTAAATTTCCAAATCCCACATTCTGTTTTAATGAACAGTATTTAGTCCCTCCATACACCATTGGGTGTGCATCTTTTGTGAACATATAGCTATCCCGCCCTCCCCCCACCCCCAGGCAGCCAGCGCGGGGTTTCTTCAATCTCTTCCCGGTCGGAGGCACATTGCTAAGTGTGCTGGTCCCCACAAACACACGTTTTGAGGTCTGGTTCTGATTAATTGTGTCATGTTGTTGTCGAATAGTTTGTGCCTCATGACTGTGGATGCAGACTTTTGAGCAAGCGAATGGAAAACATGTCTTGGAGAGCTGGGTGGGCACTGAGGCCCAGTCAGGCGTCCTGGGCTGCAGAGGGCTGAAACTCCTGTTGCTTGGCGCAGGCCTCCATTTTTTGCACCGGGTCCCGCTTTTGCAGACCTAATTGTTCATCCCCCTCATTTAAGGGACTGAACGGGTTGCCAGCTTGAAGAGACTTTGCAGGATTCGGCGGCGAGCTAGTAGTTACACCCTGACTTAGTGGTCTTTGAGAATAAAATTGCTTTGATCTGCTCCATTCCTTTAGAAATGTTGGTTTTTCCCATCCCTTCTCTTTCCCCCTCCCTCTTTTCTTTGCTTCCTTTTGTGCGTAAAAACCCTTTATTGACATTTAAAGGGCCTCCCAGGGTTTTGCTATCAGTTTTAGTTTGCATGTGCATATGAAAGATATCTTTGGGTTGTCAACAGCGGGGTCTAATTGGACAAATGCAAGTGAATACATTGAGGCAAATACACTGGATCTTGTGGTAACATTGTACTGGCTTGAAGATTCGTCTTAGCCTTGGTATTGTTCAGATTCACTGCCCACCCCCATCTCTTCCCTGTCACTTTGGATGTGGAGACGGAACCCGTATTTGTTGTAACAATGGTCATGCACTTGAAATAATCTCTGTAGTTTAGGATTTTGTCTTTTGACCACGGCATTAACTATGTGCACAAATTGGATTGACTGCTTTTTTTTAACAGCCAAATTGAGCAATCAACATATTAACTAATGTAATTAGTAAGTGTTTTTTGTTCAAAAAGTTTAATTGGGCCTAATAAGTACATAATCTGCATGACAAATAATCGGCTAACAATATTTTCTGGTTTTTCCTGAAGTTATTTTAATTCTCAGTAGTTAAAGTATCTTTAAATCTTGCCAATTATTCAGTCATCTCGTAAAAGCAAAGCCAATTCAACTAAGTTAAAGTTATTTATAGTTTCCTTTTTGAATAGATGTTCTGATATCTTGTAGCTACAGCCCCGGGAACGTCAGGTTGAAGTTCCCATAAAGTCTTAATTGAAGTCTTAGTGATTTTTCCATCATTCCGCAAAAGAGAAAGCCAGCAAAGACAATTTAGAAGTGATTTACAATTAAAGGTCGAGCTTTTTATGAAAAGGCCCTGTAGTGGAGATATGTGAATGAATTAGTATTTGACAGGTGTTCTGAGACACTACAGGGCACTGTGCTAGGGAAAAAAGCATTAATAAATCCTTCACACACTAACTTTTGTACTATCAGCGGCTCAGATTTTTTCCCCCAACATAATCCCAACTTGTGAATTTCACACTGTTGACATATAAAGTCAAGCTACCCAGATTATTTACAGTGAAGGCAAAGTCAAGAAGGATGTTTTTAAATTCCAAAAATTAGTCCTGATTTAAAAAAAAAAAATGAAGCATTATCACTGTGATACTTTGTTTTTGCCTTTATAAAATAATGAGACAGTGATTTATAATAGACTAAAATGGCATCCTTCCCTAGGTTACTTCCCATACCGCCTCCCCCCAAAAAAACCCTCCAAAAATTTAAAAAGACATGGATATTATTTTTTGACTACATGGTTCTACACAGGGCCGAGGAACTTTCGGATTGCTAAGAAATGCATACATCCTATAGGTTTTCTTTCGTCAAGCTTTCTTTTTGGTGACTTTTCAAGGTTGAGTTCTCTGCGGGATAAATGTGAACATTTCGTAAAGCCCAATTTTATTTTAAATGCAATTTTGGATTTCTTCTGGAAGAAAAAACCCCTCAAAACAATATGAAAGACAAGACCGTGTATAATGTTACAGCCTCGACAGCTCTCAGTGGAATAACTAAATACTTTCTTCCGCCCATATGTATCAGCAGCACTCGTATGCTCTTATACACATGTGCATTTACATTCATCGCGTAAAGAAGCATCCATGCATGGTGGGGGTGTGTGTACATTCAAGGGAAAATGCATGAACAGTTTTAAACCACCTGGGTTGCTAGGCCCTCTCTCTCTCCCCCCTTCTTCTTTTTTTTTTTCCAAAAGAGCATCTGAAGACCATATTGTGTTTCATAAATTATTGACATCAGTTTTAATCAGTGTCCCCCTGATGTCGGAGCTGTGTTAGTATTTAGTGCCTGACGAAGCATGCTGTTTAATCTTACTGTGGGGATGTCAGCATGAACCCCTGCCTGGTTTGTGACAGGGTGAGCTTATGAAAACTCGTTTTGCGACTCACTCTATGGCTTTGCGTTGCCCAGCTGAAACCCAAAACCCACACAAAAGACGTCTCTGCAAGATGAGCACCGTGCTGGGCTGGCCTCCTATGGTCATGGGTACCTGCAACGTAATGCTGGTAATTGTTTAAACATGGCTTTGGGGGGGGTCCTCGTGCTGCAAATGGCTTTCACGCGCGTCATCCCCAGCAAGAGAGGGGTGTTGTATTGGAGGTGTTGCTGTGAGAAATCCAACGCCCCACTAAAGACTCTTGCAAAATCAGAAGGCTAAAATTACTTGCTGCTTAGGCTAGAGCCTGGCACATAGCTGTAGATCAGTGAGTGTTTTTATAGTCTTAGTAATTATTATAATTATCATCATTATGGTGGTTAAGTCTTGAGAGCTTATTTATTTATTTTTTTTGCCAGGCACTTGTATTAGTCATTTAATCATCGCAACCATGCTAATAATACGCAGTATGATTGCACTTATTTTACAGATGAGAAAACCATAACCTAGGGACCTTAAAATGGTTTTCCCAAAGCCATGGTGGTTAGGAGGTGGTGGAGCTGGATGTTTGTGCTTTGTCTTATTGCATCCTTTGTGCTGACTCCACAGAGAATGGACGGATGGATGGATGGGTCGGTGGGTGGGTGACAGTTACATATCCACGTATAGGAGAGAATTGAAACAACCTGTTACTTCTGCTAGAATTGGAGATGGTTCTCTAGTTGTGTTGATTATGTTATGTTGTATTAATTATGTTCATACATATATAAATGTGAAGTTGTATGTAAGAAATCATCCTTCAGGGGCACCTGGGTGACTCAGTTGGTTAAGCGTCTACCTTTGGCTCAGGTTTTGATCCCAGGGTTCTGGATCGAACCCTGCGTTGGGCTCCCTGCTCAGCGGAGAGCCTGCTTCTCCCTCTCCCTCTGCTGCTCCCCCTGCTTGTGCTCACTCTCTCTCTCTCTCTCTTTCTGTCAGATAAATAAATAAAATCTTTTTTTTTTAATTTTTTATTGTTATGTTAATCACCATACATTACATCATTAGTTTTTGATGTAGGGTTCCATGATTCATTGTTTGTGAATAAATAAAATCTTAAAAAAAAATCATCCTTCATTTTAGCCATCAGGCCTAGTGGGAGCTGGGAGTTAGGAATATAGTGAAGAGGGTTTAAATACTTTCTTGCAGGTCTTAGCATCCACCGGGGTTGGTGATGGCCAAGTCTCTTCTTGATTTCAGGGCCCATGATCTTTCTCAAAGGTGGGGAAACAGAGCTCATAATCAGAAAATCCTCTTTGATAAGTCCTTTTCCATTTCCCTAGTGCTCCGTATCCCCCTTGCTTCTCTGGAACATGTAGAAGAAAATCTAGGAAGTAGGCTGAGAAGTGCTGTTGAAGAGATGAGCTTAGCGGCATGCTAGCATGGCTGGCTAGCATGGT